ATCAGAGATATATCCAGGAACTAATCCATTTTTAATCTTATAAAACAAAGTAACTTGATGCATTTTCCTTCTGTCACTAAGCTTATGTAAACCAATATCTTGTAATACACTCTCCCTGTGTGCATGTACCCTTCATAGCCCCAGTTATTATCCTTCCAGCATCAGTTTGTACAGATTCAAGCCAATCAGATTCATATTGTGGACCCCCATCCCAAACAACATCGGCATATTCAAGGTTCGAACGAACTAACGACTTGTACAAAGTCGTCAAAGTTGTTCTAGAAAATTTAAATTTTAAACCTTTGAGAAGATTCAATTTTTTTAGAGCTTTTTCACGTATATTAAAAATATGACGAGTCCAAGACATGTCGTTAGAAAACAAGAGTCCCAAATGATGACGGGCACATACTTCCTCAATTATCTTATCGTCTAATTTTAAAACAGGATGAACTGGCTTATCTTTCTTAAGAGAAAAAAATCATAGTTTTTGTTTTAGATGAATTCATAGTTACTAACCATTTATCAGACCAGGAGTGAATAGTATTCAAATCATTATTAAGAACCTGAGCGGTCTGTACTGGTGATGAAACCTCTTGAAGGAAACAAGAATCATCTGCAAATAGAAAACATTCGCTAGAAACATCAGCCTGGATATCATTGATGTATATCAGGAATAAAAGAGGCCCCAAAACAGACCCCTGAGGAACACCTGATGTAATATCTTTCCATGACGAGCATGTACCTTCTAAGACAACACGTTGTTTTCTGCCACTCAAATAACATTCAAACCATTTATACAGTGTGCCATCAATCCCCAAACGTTTTAATTTTAAAAGGAGTTCCTCATGCCAAACTTTGTCAAAGGCTTTGGAAATATCTAAAAAGACTGCTCTTACTTTGTTACCCCTGTCTAATGCCTCATGTATTCTATGCACAATATAAACCAATTGCATTACTGTGGAATCGCCAGGACGAAAACCTGATTGAAAGCGATAAAAAACCCCAATACTTTCAAGATACGAGTATAATCTATTAAATACAATCCTTTCAGTAATTTTACTTAAGCAAGAAAGAAGTGAAACAGGACGATAATTGTTTTTGAATTGGCGATTTTCATTTTTATATAAAGGCAATACATTGGCCAATTTCCAAGCTGATGGAAACTGGCCAAGAACAAACGAAGTATTTATAAGTTTTGTAAGAGGCTTGCCTAACCCATTCATACATAGCTTAAGCATCCGATTACTAACTCTATCAGCACTGCAAGCCTTCGATACATCTAACTGATTAAGTAAGATAAATACTTCGTCTTCAATAACGGATATATTAGATAAACCAGAATTTGTTTGTTGAGCAAGAGTGGGTAATTGAACTCTATTTGCGGGTAAGTATGTTTGACGTACAAAATAGTCATTAAAAACATCAGCTTTCTCCTTAGGGTCAAAAATATAACTATGACCCTCCTGTAACGGTGGAACTGAAATACCAGCTTTAATACCATATGATTTAATTATATTCCACCATTTTTTAACTGAAGTTGATGGATTGGACAAGAGAGAATTAATTTTCTTATTATGATCTTTTTTAGCATTGCGAACAAGGTTAACAACAAGATTCCTTTGCTCCCGATATTTCTGCCAATTTAAAGACGTTTTGAAATTCGAAAACTTTTTTAAAAGCCTATTTACATTTTCTCATAGCCCTGCGAATTGTTCCGCTCATCCAAGGTTTATCATTGGGTCGTATCGTTATAACTTTGCTAGGAATAAAACATTCAACTACATTAAGAAATAATGACAACCATCTCTCGTATATTTCATCAATATTTTCCGTTATAGAAGAAAAAGTGCTCTCCCAATTAGCACTTGCTAAAGCAGAATTTAATTGATGTTGGTCAACATTAACATAATTACGTCCAATTCTTTTGAAACATGTAGGTCTATATATAGGTATAGACATTTCACCAACAACAACATTATGATCACAATTCGAGGGCGGGCTTAGGGTGCCATTTGAAACAAACAGGCTTGGAAAATCAGTAATGATTAAATCTAAAATAGAACTACGCGTTTGAGTTATTCTGGTCGGCTCTTTAATCAGTTGAGAAAGATTATTGCATGCAATGAAATGAGAGAGTTTAGCACCCGCATCAAAAGTTCCGGTTGACGAATTATCAGAATAATGAGCATTAAAATCACCCATAAGAACAATAGCTGTATAATTATTACTTCCAATTTGGTCCATACTACATTGCAGTAAACGAAAAAATTCGTCGATTTGAGAAACATTAGAATTTGGAGGTCTATAACAAACGCCGCAAAGAACTTTAGATTTATTCAACGTAATCTCCACACATAGCAATTCAATACCAGCGTGTTCATATTCACACTTTCTTGCGTAAGGTAGGTGATTAGCAATATACATTGCCACACCGCCACCTCTATAACCAACTCTATCATTCCTCAAGGGACTGTTATATCCGGAAATAACTAATTGATCATTGGAAATATTTGCATTTAACCAAGTTTCAGACACCCCAAAAACATCAAATTTATGAAGTGATACCAAAGCTGATATTTCACTAAATTTATCTGGGATGCAAAGACTACGAGCATTTAAATGTGCCAAAATAAGGCCGTGTTGTTTGGGACCAAGGTTGGGATGTACATTACCAGAAATCAACAGAAGCAAATTGATAATCAAAATTGAGAATATGAAAATTTTCGGACATAAAAATAAGTTGTAAATGTCGGAAGTAGTGGTAATTACAAAACTAGCTGCAAAGAGTCCAATTGCTGCTCTGTACGATTGCAAATTAACCCCCATTAAATATATAACATGATAGACTAAAACACTCACCTCCAATTGTGCCGAATGCTGGAATGTCGCTATAGAAGTTAAAACACTCGGCAATACATTTTGAACTAGTAAATAAAACAGTAATTAAACTGGGCAATATGGCAATCGAAGAAAGAATATAAATACTTAGTATAAGGAAAATATAATACACACAGAGCACACAACAAGCTGTGATAAAAAAGTAAAGAAGTCACCGTTTTTATAGAACTATTTACGGTGACAGGCCAACATATCAATCAAAGCCAAATATGTCCAAGTCTTCAACCTTCCTTACTCTAACTGGTGGTTCACCATTTTTAGATCTAACCATAACATAACCGTCAGCAGTATAAACTAACGAGATTGCACCATAGCGTGCATGTCATCGTTTTCAGGTCAGTGTGAACGCCTGAGTAGGCGTCTTGTTATAAAGAAAACAGCAAGATGCGATATAAGAATCTTACATGAAACTACGGTACTCACATAACCAAACGATATACTTGTTGTAAATTGTAAGCACTGAAGTGTATCTTTAACGTTGATTTGGAAAAAAATCAGCAACTTCTCCTGTGGACTTAATGATGTGGACTTAATGTTGCAGCTAAGAAAGAGTGTGTACAATGGCTAGTATGTATATAGTATAGTATTTACTTAGTTTCTATTATGTATTATATGTTATTTTGGGGGTTGTTTCAGTTTGATATAATGATATAAAAAGATGAGAATGCTACTTATTGTACAGTCACTTTATATAAAAATAATGCCTAAATACGTACTGATTCAAAATATTTGTGAACTTACTTGTTTACTGTGTTTTCAGGCCATTCGTTTATTTTCGTTATCACCCTTGTAGTGGGTCAAATATAATAAAATAGAAAATAAATAAATAATTTGGATTCTTGCATTTCACTTGGTGGAATTAATATTAGAATATTAGGGTACAGAGGACTGCATTTTTCACAGTCGTTCCTGGTTAGGTCTTAAAATGTATATATACTCACTGGGATTACAAACCCTAACATTCTAAAATAAATAAATACCCACACAGAGACTGGGAGATTGTGGCAGCACAGGCAATGTAATGGTTTCCTACTCTTTGGTAATGGGCATCTTGAAATTTTTAAATGTCCGCATATATATATATTTGGTCATTCGATATGGTGATGTGTTGATACAAATAATAACAAGGCAATAGTAAAAATAAATACATTTCAAAGAATACAGTCTACCAAAAGAAATGGTGATCATGACCAGTGTCCCAGTATGTTGATTTGGACCTCCATAGTCATAGATTTTCACCCGGGGGTCCCAATCTAAATATCTAATAGGCGGACTCCCATTGGCGGATGTGGACATTCTTCAAAAGTTAAATATATGTAATGTCATATAAACCAAATTCACAATAGTGATCAATCTGAAGTATTATCACTTTATATTGTGATAAAGGCCATAAAACATTATCTATAAAGAGAATACAGTGTGACTAAAATCTACGTATAGTCTTTACCAATAACAAAGCTGCTAAGGGGCGGACCATTTGACTTTTGAGGAGAGGGGGGAGTTGGAAGATTCAGACAGTACAAGAATTTTTTCCGCCCAGGCGAACAACACATATTTTTTCCTGCAAAAGTGCAGTGCAAGATATTTTTTCCCAATATATTTTGCGGCATGATAATTTGCCTCTCATAATTATAACAGCTTGCAGTAACTTAAGACTTTCATACCGCTATCGTCAGAGACATAGCCGGGTTTTTCAGGATGAGAAAATCACAAGTTTTTCAGGATGAGAAAATCACAAGAGAGGCCAAGGAATATTCACTGTGATCTATTTTATATGGTATGTCTTCATGCTACCCTCACTAAAGTGTGCAGTTTACTTACGAAAAAATGTATAACTGCACCAAGACGTAAAACATGCATGGATAGAGTAGAGTACTGGAATGGTGAAGGTCAATATATGAATCATACGTAACTTCGGGGGGATGGGGGTTCATTGGCATGCTCCCCAAGAAAATTTAAACCTCTGAAATACTATTTCCTGCATTTTCAGCCATGGATTCGTTTATTTTACATTAATATAACCACACAAACAATCATTAATCAGTTGAAGAGTATTTTAATGTTTAACTGATTTTACCTTAATAGCTTTCACTACTCGTGAGTTACAATAACAAAACGTTGTCTCTTTTTAGTTCTTGGTTCGGTTTCAAATTAGCAGATACCAATTGTCTCTGTCTTTTCACAATATCTTCATTTTGGAAATAGTCCATGAGATAATTGTAGAAAAAGTGAGTTCCAAATTCCTGAATACATGAACTTCTGGGTCTACGGGTGTTTTTTCTGTTGTTTTCGCATTCCTGATAACGTGTCTTGATCATATTTGGTTGACGGAGAAGATTGATGTCATGATAGTCACACAAAGGCGACTTCTGTGGATTTGCAGCATTGTGAAATCTATCGCCGAGTACATATCTTCTTGCATTTCCAGTAAGTGGGTGTTTGAATGTTCCATCATAACAAGTTGCATCTGTGTCTTCAGATCTATACTTATCCTACAATGATATTATCATATTTTCAATTAAAGCAGCTGCATGGTTAAAGTATTTTAAATTAGATAATATATTGATTATCTTTCTTTTTTATTAACCCACTAATTAATTTTAAAAATACAAAACAATGTCAACGGACTATTCCCTATTTTGGTAATTTTTAATTTCGTATTTGGTATTTTTTTTTGCTTTTTGGATAGAATAGACTAAGATAAGCTTAAGTATTTGGACAGAATTAA